GTAACATAATTCACGTGGTGGCACTTTACCCTAATCTGGCTAATACTGCACTCTAGCAGATTAAGGACAGTTGCTTGGTTTGCTCCTAAGCAGTGTTGCAGAACCAGTAATCTCTCATAAGAGAGAGGGGACAGCAGCATCTGGAAACAGGTCTGTTAGCTCAAAGCTGAATTTTAATAACAACTCCTGTGGCAGGGAAAAAAGGAACAGGAACTAGACAACACCAGATTAAATTCACAGTACTAAATTTAATTCTTTCACATCTCAAACCATAGTTTAGAAAGTTCCCTCAGGAAAAACAAGAAAGCAAGGATGCCGAGATATTTCTCTTAAGAAAATAATCGGGATATTGTTCAGGTACTTACGTCTTTGTTTTCGAGAATTTCCTGCTTGGTTTCAGGTTCGACTTCAACCAGTTCAGCTTCCTCTCCCAAGGCACCAAAGTCTGGCCCACCCATCGAGAGGCTCCAAACTCTGAAACAATAAAAGAAATCCGAATTTAATATGGTATGCGGATTTGTGACTTATGCCTTTTGCAAAGGAAAAATAACTATGGTTCTTGACACTGCGCTCATAAGGTCCTAAGGGAAAAAAAGCAAAAGAGAAGAACTGAAATGAGGGGAATAACCAGCACACTTGTTACCTACCTGCTTGCTGAAATTTTTAATGAAAGCTGAATAGCTTTCACATTGAATGATTTCTCAAAAATACTCTGCACGCTTCCAAAAATAACCTTACTTTTAATGCATGCTTCCTGTATTAAAGATGAATTCCACCTTCTTAAAAAAAAAATATATATCTAAAAAATCAGGGTGTCACTACTTAGTTTGGGTTTTTGGGAGGGAGAGGAGTGTGAATGCTGAACAACGAAAAAAAAAAAAAGTTGTTTTCAGTATGTTACTTTGTTTTGCTTTTAAATTTTAATATTTCTTTTAAAAATATCCTTCCAAGTAATGCTCAAGAACCTCAGGCCCTATCCATCAGAGGTGAACATCTTAATCAAAATGGTTTCCAGCACAGCATGGCTTTATTTACTATACCAGAAAGAGTCCTAAAATAAGACGTATCAGAAGATAACAGATTCAAGCCACAGTGAATAGAGGGTTACCTGCAAAAGCAGAGGTCAGGATTGGATAACTCAGTAAATCTACTTTTAGTCTTAAGTCACTAATACAGTACTTGCTGCATTATTTAAGGATAGCTGTTTTGCCGGAAGAGTAAATTGCTATTACGTACCAGAATCAAGTCAAATGAACACAGAATGCTCTCTCACTCCCAATAGTTTTCAGGCAAGCACGAAACATTCTGCATCCACACTATATTGTACATCAGTTTATACTACAGATGAACATAAAACCAAGAATATGAACAAAAAAAAGATGAAACAGAAATTAAATTAGGCACGGTAATTAGATACTCTGGAGCCTTAACAGCCCCCTGCTGCAATATACTCCTCAGTCTAATTAAACATTATGTAAAAGCCTGCTGGTTTTCAACAGCCTCACAGGAAAGAGCTGTTCTACCTGGGATCTTGAGGAATCATCCAGACCATTCTTAGCCCCCAAATAGGTCAGTCACTCATTAATCATACCTGAATTACCTACATCAGTTTTAAACACCCCTATCCAGGGGTGTCTATCCTGAGAAATGCTTCTCTAACGAAGCCTTGAGGTATGGAGAATTCAATGCCTTCCTAAAATATTTCAGAGCCTACGTATCCTTATTCTGTGAAATTCTTTCCTGACGTTTAAGACACGCTCTTTCTGTTGCCATTATAACCTCTACTCCTTGTGCCACCACAACAAACACTTAAATCTTTGCCTTCCTTCTTTAAGCAACGGCGCACACATCTGGAGACCTTATGCTTCTGTTCAGGAGCATCTCCAATTGCTTCAGGTGTGTGAGATGCAACAGATCTCTTTAAGCAATACTGCTCTTTAGTGAGGAAGTGCAAACCCACCACCTCCACTTCTCACCGTGAGAGCTGCAGTTACGGGGCAGTTTCTTTTTGTTTCATGGTTTGGTTTGGGGTTTTGGGGTTTTTTTCCGTTTTTTTTTTTTTCTGGTTTCATTT